TTGTATATTATGACTTTGTTTGTTGACACTGTGGTATTTTCTGTCCTTGTACGTTGACACTGTGGTATATTCTTTCCTTATGTGTTGACTCTGTGGTATATTTTTCCTTGTGTGTTGCCACTGTGGTATATCATGTCATCGTGTGTTGACACTGTGGTATAGCATGTCCTTGTGTGTTGACAATGTGTTATATCATGCCCTTGTGTGTTGACACTGTCATTGTGTGTTGACACTGTGGTATATTATGTCTTTGTTTGTTGACACTGTGGTATTTTCTGTCCTTGTACGTTGACACTGTGGTAAATTATGTCCTTGTGTGTTGACACTGTGGTATATCATGTCATTGTGTGTTGGCACTGTGGTATAATCTGTCCTTGTGTGTTGACACTGTGGTAAATTATGTCCTTGTGTGTTGACACTGTGGTATGTTCTGTCCTTGTGTGTTGACACTGTGGTATAATTTGTCCTTGTGTGCTGACACTGTGGTATATTCTGTCCTTGTGTGTTGACACTTTGATATATCATGTCCTTGTGTGCTGACACTGTGGTATATTCTGCCCTTGTGCGTTGACACTGTGGTATATTCTGTCCTTGTGTGTTGACACTGTGGTATGTTCTGTCCTTGTGTGTTGACACTGTGGTATAGTATGGCCTTGTGTGTTGACACTGTGGTATATTCTGTCCTTGTGAGTTGACACTGTGGTATATCATGTCCTTGTGAGTTGACACTTTGGTATATTCTGTCCTTGTGTGTTGACCCTGTGGTATATTCTGTCCTTGTGTGTTGACACTGTGGAATAGTATTGCCTTGTGTGTTGACACTGTGGTATATTCTGTCCTTGTGCGTTGACACTGTGGTATATTCTGTCCTTGTGTGTTGACACTGTGGTATATCATGTCCTTGTACGTTGACACTGTGGTATATCATGTCCTGCTACGTTGACACTGTGGTATATCATGTCCTTGTGTGTTGACACTGTGGTATATCATGTCCTTGTGTGTTGACACTGTGGTATAT